GGGATTTCCCTCCTTTTTTTAAATTGGGACTTCTAGATGGCCGGAAATGGCTGGGATGGGAAAACTAGGCCTATTTTTGGTTTTCTTTTGGTCTGACTGCCTCACGAGCTTTGGCCGATGGGGGGGGGGGCTTGACCAAACCGATGTAGGGGATTAATCCCCCTCCCCCGCTGGCGCCGCCACTGGCTGATAGGGGCCACGAAGTTGACGGAGGAGGGGAAACTAGCGCTCGAAATGTTTTAGTGGGTGGGGGATGGGCGCAGTGCAGAGGCGTCGAGAGCCAGTAAGGGCCCCGGGGCAACACCTCACATGGGCTCCCCTTCACTTGGGACCCCCACTCGGCCGCTCCCCAAATTAAGTCTCCTCCTAAATCTGACAACAAAAGTTTTCATCTTGGCTTGGGCTTAGGCTTGGCCCCAAAAATTGTTCATCTTGGTCCGGCAACCCCACCCCCAGTAGACCCGGGCCCCGGGGAATCGACCCCCTGACCCCCCTCTCGACGCCACTGGATGGCGGAGATTAGCCTACCATTAACTTAAGGTGGGGATGGGGTTAACAAGTGCGCCAGGAAGTCCGAACCAATAAATAACTTTGGTTGGCCCATAAAAAATACTTTCCATACTCAACGGAGTTATGTAATTCATAGCTAGATCGCTGTTTATTATAATCGCCGCTATTATTAGTAGGGCCTATTAATATAGCCTACTATTTCGAGTTACATTTACAAATACCCTTTGCTGATGTTGGGAGCGGGAATGATATGGTGGAATAGTATAAGGTTATGTAACAACTATCGTTTCGTAACGTCAAAACTTACATTACGCGGTTCGTTGTCATGACAATACATTTTATATAATTATTGTATCTTTAAAACAATTTATAACATGAATTGGCCATACAAAGGTATTGTTTATCGACATTTTTAGAATTTACATATTTTTTAAATACATTTTAGGTAATTTATTACTAAATTAAAATATCAAGCTAGATTATAGGACAAAGGTCATTAGATATTTACATTAATCTAGTTATATGATTTATTGTCTATTTACCCGGCCCATGGAAGCCTATATTTTGAAGTATAAGCCAGTATATTTAGGCTAGAGGGGATGTTATTATATTAGACCCCATAAATCTTATTGTTGCAAGATCAAGGTAAATCATTATTTTTAATATTTAATCATTATTTTATATATTTTACTATTAAATTAGTATTTAACTAAATGGTCAAAGGACGTTTTATCAATATTTTTTATATTTAGGTCTATCACAGAGCCCACGATTTTCTTAGCACATTCGAGAAGAACTAGACCTAACACATTGGAGAAAAGAAGGCGATTAATTACAAGATACTTACAGATATATCATAGGCCTATACCAACCGATCATAACATTAAAATTGGCCTGTTAAAATCTAATTTAAATAACAAAATTTAAAGATACTACTTACCAAAACTTAACACAATTCCAAAATTATACACGTCACATAAATCATTTAGATATTGTGAAAATGTTCTGGAAGTATGTACTAATTTTCGATGACAATATCTCGTTTATTCTATCAATAGGCCTGTTAATATTCAAGGGTACTCTCACAACCATAATTATGCGTGCGCATGCGCTTTGGTCATTTATCGGTGAGGGTGACGTCAAGAAATTCCGACAGACGACTTTACAAACGGCTGTTGCAACATGACACTCTGAGCTGGGTTTCATACTGTTAGGCCTACTTCCCCATTATAAGGCACCAGGATAAGGCTTAGAGATGGTTCTAGGAGAAAAGAAAACATACCCCCTTCCGGTCCTTTCAGACTGTAAATAAGTTTCATTAGTCTAGAAAATAAATTTCCTAAACGGGGGATCTCCACCATGTGTAGGACCTATTACACAAGCTGCGAGAACCATTAGTGTAGGGAGGGTCATCTAGGTGTGGGGTTCAGTGGGAAATCCCCGTCAGAGAGGGCATGGACTCCCAGTCTTTCAAAGCCACTGTGATTCCGTGCTGCAACCTAGCCAATCAACGATAGAACGCTGAGGATGTTGACAATTCATAGAAGGATGAATTTTTACTCCACTGAATTACAGTAGCATACTAGACCTGGGGCAACGTACACGTAAACAGAAACAGAATCTGATTATTTTTTTCAGAAATGTACGGTAATAGCGGGCACTTGCCCAGGGGAAAGGACCGAGAGTTCGATCCAAAGTGCTGGGCCAAAGCCGGGGTCCGGAAAAGGTGGCAAATAATTTCTTCCATGGTGCAACACAGGAAAAAATCTACATCCCGGAGGTTAAAACCATGTCCAACTCAGAAGGAAGATTCAACAACACGTGGATCTGATTCATAAAAGGAAAATTCCTAAACGCTGTTGTCATTGGCAAGTACAATAACACACGAAACCTGGGGCAACGTGCAGAAAATTCAGATAATGTTTTTGTTAGACCTGTAATAGCAATTATTTTGTTGAGTACCTATAGGTTAAGGCTAATAAAACATGAGTTCTGCAGTGATGACACGAGTTTAAAGGTCCATGAAAGCACACGAACATACCGGTACGCCAGTTTTTCCCTGTGGTCTAGTGGGAGCCTAAATTCCTATTTCTTCCTAATTTTCCGCCATGAAGGGGAAGGGGGAGATGGGTGGGTTGCGTGCCTCCACACCCTTCCCCATGCACACCCGACGCATGTTGATATTTGCTCTTGACCAAACGCATTGATTTCCTTAGAGAGGTTTTGCAACATTTACAAAAACGATATTGATGACATCACATCCAATTTTTGGTATTCGTGCTATGCTATTTCCCACGCTGCAGATAATTTTCTTGAGCCTCTAAATTTGATGACCGATTTCCGATTTCTCTTCCTTTTACGGCGATTTAAATTGACAGATCCCGTCAATTCGTTGCATTATATTATGTACAATAATAATAATAATAATACTGTACAATAATACAACGTATTTTTGCGTTTTAAGAAAACCATTTAAATGGTTTTCTTAAAACGCAAAAATATGTTGAGGGATAGTAATGGGGAAGGGCTGAAAAATATAATTATTGATGATGTAACAGTCTTCATTATTGTTTTTATAAGAAATGCTCCCCAAAACAGACAGGTTTTCCCAAATCGTAAATATAAACAAGAACGGCAATAAAATAATAATTTTTGAAGAATACAGAACTCAAAATTATTATATTTATTTTGTTAGTGGCACAACACCCAATATTGGATATTGGAAAGAAATATGGTAAAATATATTAATATTATGGTATTTAATAAAATTTGAATCATCACACATTTTGTATAACTAAACTTACTTTCCTTTACATAATTAAATAGCATGCATTAGTGCAAATAAATAACAGTTCTGAAAGTAGTAGTACCATTGATGAACATTATTACTGAAACTAATCTAAAATTGTATCTGCTAACACGTGCTGTGCAGTAGGTACTGCAGCTACTGCAAGGATGCTAATGCAAACTAGCCGTCAACAAAATGCTGTGTATAAAACCAATACAAACTCTAGCTGCCAACACGATTGTAGCTACCGGGGGGGGGGGGGGCCTCACTCTTCAATATTTCTAAACGGGTAGGTGCCGCATTTACGGGGGTATTTTTGAGGACTTGGTAGCACAAGCGTGGGAATTTATGGAAGAGTTTCAGCATGTATAGGGTACATTTGCGAGGACTTGGTAGCACAAGTGGGGAAAATACCAGGTAAATTTGGTAGTTAAAATTCCTTGCCCCGTCCCGTATTAAAGTCGCATAATTTTTTACACAATGTTAGCAAAGATTTTTTGCTAACTTCCGTGCTAAACCTACCGTTGATACATAGCCACGAACAGTAGGGATCGCAAACAGACAGAACCGCAGTCTTATTCGCCAACGGGAACAGTACAAGTTCAATTTGGTAGGTTTCATGGCCGTAACAGTGATTCAACAGACACTGGATTTTGGTAAATGGCAGTTCAAGTCCCTAATATTTTTCAGTAAAATAGGTAGCACAAGTGTCTCATGTCTTGGAGTGGCTGCTGCATGCCCCTGTAAGGTTGGTATACAAGTAATTTTTCAATGTCATCTTTTCTTTTTTTTATATTTATATTCATATGTACCTTACTGATTATGGCAGTCGTTATGGCTGGAAAAATACAGAAAAATTCGACTGATCTGCCCGTGGGTCAAGATTCTTCTTAACTTTTTACCCACACAGGTAGTAAGTGAATGTGGAACGCATTGCCGCGAGCGAAGGGTGCACTGCCTGTGCCCACCATTGTATATTAATTTTTTTTGTTACAGTATTCCTTTTCAGTATGCGCTGCATACATTTTTTTACTGACAGACGTATCTTTACATGGATGGATAAAAAATACCTTTAGTAAACAGCGATTCATAAATCAAAAAATCACATTTTTCGACATTTTGCATAATAAAAAAAATTTCTTCCCTGTTGCTTTCATCAGACGTAGCATAAATATGTAACATACTCAACATTGAACAGTAAATTTTACGTACAAAAATGTATCTATATTCCTAATGAAAAGTTTAGCTATATAATTATTTGGAATACAGTTTGATTCCAAAGCTTTTGTCCATACGTAGAGGCAAGGTTGCAGATGATAATGATGATATCTCCCAGTATAGACTCCGAGACAGAAACAAGCGATATAAGAGAAGAACTGCAAGAGACTGCGATGAGACTACACCTATAGTTATAAACTGGTGAAAAAAAAAATTGAATTAATTTGGTAAGAAAATATTATATTTACAAGTATATAAGAGTATGAAAAATGACATGATGCAATTAACTCTTAAATCTCATTTGTATCGCATTATACCATGGAGAAATAAAATAGATATATTTTATATTTACTCAATTAGGAGCAAATAAATTATTTTACTTTACCTTGTTTCGTATATGCTCCGCAAAGACAAATGAAGTGACAATTAACAAAGGATATATTAGAAACCATACTAGGCAATACTGCGAAGAAAAAAAAAACATACATTAAGTATAACAACTAGTTCCAGTTCAGATTGGAAATTTAATTTCTTAGCTCTTACCTGGCAGCATGTGGCATAGTGGTATTAGACACTGTACTTACAATCAAGAAGTTATGGGTTCTAGTCCAAGTCTTGTATTATTTTGTATACTTTTGAGGAAGGTTCCTTATGCAATCCGTTTTCAGAACTTTACTATGATTGCTATACAGTTGCTTTTACCTGTATTGGGACTTGGATTGTACTGGATTGGGAATTGTAGTGTCAGCCATGACACTGCAACTATTTGTCACTTATTAAGAAGAGCTTGTGACATTTTTTTACCCAAAAATTAATGAAAATCATTTTTAATATAATTTCTTTCTTAGATTATTAATATAAGCTTTTTCTAAAGAGACAAATTATATTAGATACAACTTTTTAAGCACCAAGAATCTATGATTTCCATAATTTTTCTGGAGTTATTAAAAAGATTTTTATTAATTTTTCGAAAAATAAAAAAGGAATGTCGCAACATTTTTTAATAAGTTGACAGTGTGAGAATGGAACTTTCTGAGGTGCCTATCAACTGATAAATTATAATGTGTTGTTTAGTAGTCAGGAATATATTTGTGCAGCTCCCACAAACATCCAAGTTTACGTATGTTTACAATATTAACGTCACACACAACAATATATAAGGGCTAGGCCGTAGTGAAAAGTCTATTGAAAGTTTGGACCTCATGGTTGAAAGCCCACACAGCAGGTGAGCCAATCGATAATAATTACTCACCTTGCAGAAACTGATGTAGAAGTTCCTTTTCATAGCACTACGTTCTTTAGAGACCGTCTGGTAGAGGTTGCCAGAGAAGAGGATGGCAAGGACTATACGGATCACTATGAGGAGCACACCAGTAAGATCTTGGTGAGTGTGATAAAAGGAATGCTCTGCATACCACATTTGGTCCATAATCACAAGAACACCCTGATGAATACAGAATAATAATAGACAGATAACAGAATAAAAATAGACTGATAACAGAATAATAATAGATAGATAACAGAATGTTTTATATAGATTCATTAAGATACTTTTGTACATCACATGCAACCTATTTTTCAGCATACATGGATGGGTTCAACAGGTTTACCCAATGGCACACTTTCACCTTCAGCTAAAAAACCCATACATCACATAATGTATACTGCTTATACAGTTCCTAGTAGGCCTACATACACAACACAGGTATATATTTCATATATAAAATTTCTCTTTTTGATTGTTTATTAAAACTATGATAATACTATTAAGAATATTAATTATCATCAAAGATATTTATCTGGTTTCATATAATATTTAATTAAAGTTATCTATTGATAAAACAAGAGATAACTTTAATCAATAAACATTAATTATGTTTTTATGCTTATACAGCTAAAAAATATCCAAGTATTAAAAATCCCATTTTGCTTGGTACAGTATTAAATGATTGTTCTCTAGAGGGTGCACTTTCAGTTCAGTCTTACCTGTGTTATGGCAAGCAAAGCTAAAACTCTTGATAGTGTGCTTGACTTCCACACTTGCGAGTTCAGATTAGTTTTAAAATTACCAAGTGTCCACCCAACAGACAAACTAAGTAGCAGGTAAAGCATATTGAACTGGGCAGCGATATCCAGTACTAAAGAAAGAAAACAACATACTTCAATTTTTTCCTTTATATATATTTTACATACTGTTCAGTTTCATGAATACTGTAATATTTATGAATAGCATTATTTGATTTTTTTTTCTCTCCATATGAGGGTATTCTAATCAGCCAAGATAATTATTTAGGACCCTTAATCTCTATGATATAAAGTATTATGTTACATATTCATGTGAACTGCCCAAATATGGGCATGATGATGTCATACCAGTGGCGGATCCAGAAATTTAAAATAGAGGGGGTCCAGGGAGGTACTTTCTCAGATGGAGGATCTATACCACCTCAGCCCCACAATGGTTGGGGCTGAGGTAAGAAAATGTGTGATTATGGCACCTCTAGATGGCTGGAAATTGCACTCTCAGACTTGAAATTTGAATACAATTTGTTCTATGTCTCCATATTTCTTTAAATTTTAAACAATTTAGGGAAAGGGGCCGGCCCCACTTCACCTTGAATCCACCACTGCATACAACATCCAAATAAAAAAGGGCACTCTTGATGGTCTATATTGTTTTTGAATGTGAAAAAAAATTCTTTTTTTGATGGTACTAGTGGAGTAGTAAATAGTGTGCATCCCCAAGAGAGCTCCCTCCCCCACCCACCCAATTGGAAAGTTTGAAGCAAAACATAATCATCGAACCCCTCCCCCAATGCAAAACTTTCAGATATACCACTGTATAATACAAACTGTAACTGAAAAAATTATTAGCATATACATGGACTTTTAAATTATCTGAGTTAACATTGATAATACAGTATTTGTTTGTGTTTGCAGAATTCTTTATTTGTATATTATTTATTATATGTCCAATTATCAATATCTCGCTTTATCAAATTATCATTAAGTTTCGTGAAACACAATTATATATTCAGTATTGAAAAACGTTAAGGGAGTTGGGGGACTTTACTTCATCCATGTGTAGTTACACCTGATGAACTTGCAATTTAGATGTTGTGGAAATAAAAATTAATATTTACTACTGTATTTTCATATTTTATTAATTATGAATGATACAAAGACTTACATTGTCCTATACTTTCAATGAATGGGGTGCCCTCTCCATCTCGTGAATAAGAGTAAAGATGTATAAACATACAAACAGAACACAGAGCTTGTAAGATTAACACTGTAGTCAATATTGACAATACCTAAGTGAAAAATACATAGGAAGAAAGAACACAAAGAAATACTTTAGTCAGAAGTGTTTAAAACGTCTGTTATATATCTGGGAAAAAAATCAATCAAAACTTTAATTTACAATGAGACAAATATTGGGGGCCAGTCATAAAAACTCTCCCTATGAGCCCTACCAGGGATTTCTAATCAAAGACCCGGACCGAAGCTCTAGTTTGCCCCTTGGTTTGGACATAAAACATGTCTTACCTCATGCATAGGCCCTCTCTTGGCCAATGTTTCATATAAAGATGAGAAGCAGATGCATCCTAATACAAAGTACAACATAGTAAGCAGCTGATAAAAACCTAAAAGACCTAATGATAGAGAGAATGCAACATATTAGTATACACAGGTATAGTGGTCCTGCAGCTTGATGTCTTGCCAATCTCAGGGTTTCGTTTTATGCTTTGTCCAAACTATCAAATTTTATGTGACAAACTTGTGTGATGTGCCCACATATGGGTATGATGATGTCATATTATACCCCAAATATAGGCATATCACATGTATTTGTCACATAAAGTGAAAGTGTGGACAAAGCTTTAGGTTCAAATCTTATAAATTAAAAAAAAAATTGAAACCTAGTGGGATCTGCCCATATATGGGCATGATGATATCACATCCACTAATTAAACCTAATCACAGAGTTCAATACTGTAGTTTGTAAGTCAAGATTTAGATCAGATTTAGATCCAAATTAATTGAAAAAAAAACAACAAAACAAATTGCTAGAAGTCATTAAAAATCCATATATCAGCTGTTGAATGTAAAAAAAAAAAATCTCAAAATAATACAGTATTTAAACACAGCAAGCATTGTGCTTCCCCCTGTAAATACTATCAACAATACAGTAGAACTCCTACTTTGGGACACCCCTTTTAAAGGGA